ATAAATAATCATATAAAGTATGTGTCCTGTATTATGTTGTTCCCCTTGCAAAATAAGCCGCCCCAAACCAACACAGCAGCCAAGGGGCTGTTTTGGGACCAAGGTTCAAACACCCAGCCTCTCCCTACAATGGCATCCCTGCTTTTCTTAATCTCAAAGCGAGCCCCCTTTCTCCCATATCTCACCCATGCTCCTACAAAATATCCTCTGAAGACTCTCAACACTAAATCTTCAACTCAACTGCATGTACTGCAGTAAAATCAGGCCCCACATCAATCTTTGCTCCTCATCTACCACCAGTCACCCTTTCAAACCTCCCCTTAGCGCCTACCACCACTCAAACACCTTCCATTCTCCTTACCCTATCTCACCTACCTCACCACAGAGCAACCACAAATTATAAAATGTCATAGTTTGCAATAAAAATACAAATTAACAACAGAAGAAATTTTGGAAAAGGCAAAAGCTCCTGGAAAATTAACAATGTACTCAAACAACCAATGGGTCATACAGGAAATCAAAAAAGAAATTTAAAAATTTCTGGACGTTAATGACAATGTCTTAAGTTGGGCAGAGGGTATGATAAGATTTACTTCTTGAAGAGACTGGTATAACTTCAGTGCAGAGAAATGATTAAGGAGGGTGCAAGAAATGATAATGGCTAAGCAATGAAGGCTTGAAAAACTGATAGTAACAAGGATTAGGACAGAGATGGTTAAAAAGTTAAGACAAAATCATATTACTTTAAATATACCATGGCTGAGGCCACTTAAGTATTATCCTTACTTTGTTCCTATTAACAAAGATTTAGAATTTTGATATGTGAAATACAAAATAATCAGTATTTAAAATGAGTCTATTTTATGTAACTATGCTTACGTTGAGGAAAATTAACCACTAGATGGCAGCAAACAAAATAATTTCTATGATCCTTAGAAAACAGCAAATTTTGCTTAAACCCTTGTTCTTCAGGCAGTAATATATTTCACTTAAAAGAAACCAATAATTTTGGTGCAGCATTCTTTGAACCTCAATTAAGCCATGTAAGAAAAGCGATGTTAATATGGAATATGCACGGTGAAATAACACCACAACTTGTGCCACATAACAATAAAACAAGGAGAAAGGGCATTTTATTACTTCCAGAGTCTCACTTTGTAATTTTCCAAGCTACAGATCTAACTCCAGATTGTAACAGACTCCACAATTTGGATGGGCTTTTCAAAACGCTCAAAATATCACAAGCCTTCTTGTTGGTACACCAATATTCTTTCACTCTCATTCTCTGTGTGTTTTCACCTCTTCAAAATTACATATGTACATGTTTTTAACTCAAGGATTCATAGAACTCTTTAAACCAAAAGACATCTAATTAAGAACCTCTACATTACAGTACTTGATAAAACACACTATCAAAGTTGAAAACACCCTAGGATTTTAAAAAGCTTGTTACTGAATAAAGCAGTAACAAATCTTGCTGAAGCTACAGGGACTGGAGAAACTTGACAGAGGTTAAATATGCTAACCTCTGGCATATGTTCAAGGTTAAACGTGCTAAACCTTAATACTATTAATGCCTCAGATGTAGTCATGCTTTGTTGTGAAGCTCTTTGCTGTGAACAACAAAGCATGACTACATCTGAGGCATTAATAGTATTAATGCTGTTTCTTTCTTTCTTTCTTTTTTTTTTTGTCTTTTTGAGACAGGGTCTCGCTATGCAGTTCAGGCTGGCCTTGAGCTCACTTTGTAGCTCAAGCTGCTCTCAAATTTGCAATGATCCTCGTGCCTCAGCTTCCCGAGTGCTGGGATTACAGGTGTGTTTAATGCTGTTTCTTAATAGTAACAATAGCTAACATTTGTTTAGTGCTTATTATGTACCAGAAATTGTTCCTCAAAGCCTTACAGGAACTATTTCAATCTTCTTAATGATCTCTCTGAGGTAGGAACTATTATTATCCCAATAATTCAGATGAGGAACCTAAGGCATAGAGAGGTTAAATAAATTATCTAGCTAGTAATTAGTGTATCTCTAGAGTCCATGCTTTTAATCACTTCAAGTAACTGTCACTCACTTACATTAGTTCCTAATTACTCTGCATACCAGTGATGTTCTCAGAACTCTAATACCACCTACGGCAGTAAAAGCAGAGTTATGACAATAATTTAACATTAATCACACCCATTTCCACCTCCTTCTCCCAATACAGTAATTGTAGGTAAAGCCAATGACAGTATAAGGGTGATGAGAAGACTAAAAGGGGACAGAAAAACTAAACTATTTGACAATAGCAAATGAAGATTAAAAAGAAAATGCTATTGATGTAGAAAGCACCGATTTATGGTTGTTCTCCCAACCCCTATCCCAGGATTATGGCTGAATAATTCACAACCTGGTAACAGAGTAAGGACAGATAATGTTGCCAAAATTAGTTTAATGACAAGGGAAATTAAAAAAGGTTCACAACTATGACCTAATTGTATTAGTATTCTCTTTAATTTTCTTAGGAATATCTTAGGTTTCAGGTATGATCAGATAAGTAAATCTTATCTGAGTAACAACTATTTTTAAGGTCTTGACACTTCAGTTAAATCAAATAAAGTTGTAATAATTTCAAAGCGTTTCACACCAATACTCACACAGAGCAAGAGCTTTGGATCTGCATGAATCAGTTTCACCATGGATAAGAGAAGATACTTATAGCTTCTTGTCTCTAGGTCTGTAGGTTTTTCTTTAAATTTAAGGCTTGTCACTTTTTCCTTAAATGTAAGACTCTAAAGAAACAAAAACAAAAATATGGTATCACTTTGTAAAAAACTGACATCAGATTAAGGGTAACAGCTATATAACTTCTTAAAAAATTACTACTAAAAAGACTTTGAAAACATAAAGACATTTTATACCACTTGGTATAAATACTAAAATAGTAAGCATTTTTTTTTTTTTTTTTGGATTTTTTTCTGGTACCGGGAATTGAACTCACGACCTTGCGCTCGCCAGGCAGGCGCTGTGCCACTGAGCTAAATCCTCAGCCCCAGTAAACGTATTATTAAGTTTTATAAAAATGAAAATTGTCTCAGTACCACTTCTACTATTATATAATCAATCTAGTATGGTTTAATGAAGATCTATTAAAACACTAAAGGCTTAATACCAGACTAACTCCTATGTGAAAAATAATTTTCCAAAACATGAAAATGTAATGGAAAAAATGCTGGGCCTATGTCCTTCACAAATACAAACATTGGGCAACCTGTTTAACAAACACTTATCCCACATACATATGTACAAATATTTTGTAGACTCTACAACATTATTAATTTTAAGATGCATCATTATCTGCTGTACCAAAAAAAAAAAGAAAAGCCATTGTCAATTATAAGACACCAAAGTAAGACACACCTCTAGTTTCAGAGAAATTTCAGTGAAAACAAGGAATAAGTGCTTTTTAGAACTGATGAAATGTGCTACCACAGGAAACCTCTATTTTATGTTTATTTATGAATTTTGCTTTCTCCTTTGATGGCATTCCATCTCTCTCAAGCCACAGAACACATAACATTTTGCCTGAAGAACATTCATAAAACAGAAAGAATTCTTTGAGAAAGATTAAATCATAGAAAATGTGTTTTAATTACAAAGACACTCTGGTGAACTAAAATAATTAATTATGGATATGATGCAATAAAAAGTCCAATGACTATATTCTGGATTCACATCACCCTTCTCTATGTAAGATATTTCCTTTTTTTAAAAAAAAAATGGAAGAAAACAAAACAACAACACTGAAAATGTTTGGTCCTTGGGGTAAAACTGCTATTTAACATATATTTTTGCTGAAAAATATTATTATTGAACTGCAATATCAAAACCTACAAATTATTGTTTGCTTTTATAACTACCAAGGCAAATGTTTACCAAATGTATTCAATATGTTCCGGTTATGTTCCCATGAAACTACATATAGTTTTCATTCTAATTCAAACTATTTAACCTGAGATCAAGGTGCAACTTTCACAGAAGAAATTTATTTTCTATGATGTAACAATATAAGCCCAAAACTGCTCTTGCCTGATGTAGCCATTGTTCAGGAACACAGAATCAGAGAACAATTAGCAGTTGAAGAATTTTTGTTTCGTTGGTTTTTCCTTTGTTTTTCTGAGACAGGGTCTCACTAAGCAGTACAGGCTGGCTTTAAACTTGCTACGCAGCCCAGGCCGGCCTCGCACTCTCAGCAATTCCCCTGCCTCAGCTTCACCAAGCGCTGGGATTACAGGTGTGTGTGCCACCATGCCCAGCACAGTTAAAGAATTATATCTTACTTAGTAAACATTTCCAAGAAAATAAATATTATTTTCATTATATCGTCTCTTAATCTCAAGTATCAGCATATAAATTTTCTTCCAGTAAGGCTACGTAATATGAAATGTTAAGACCTGAGAAATTTCAATGAATCTATTCAATTCAAATACCTTTTAATTTAAGGACCATCCCTGGGTTATATAAAGCAAGAACAGCTTGCTAAAAAAATAAAATGTAAGAAAAATAATAATATTCCAGGTATAAGTAAGAATCTAAGCTGGTACATGTGTTCTTACCAAAGAAGAAAAGCAGTTATGCCTAAGAATTTCATGAACCAGAGGATTCAGGAAGCTACGAGGAGCCCAAAGTACTCATTAACTTAAGACTACATCACTAACTTACAGGCATGTAAAAAGCATTTATTTATTTTTTTTGTAAAAAGCATTTAGTGACCCAAGATACTCTTTAAGACAAAGTCTTAAAAAAAAAAAAAAAAAAAGGACAAAAAAAGTTCACAGATTATGTATTTGTGAAAATTACTGAACATCCATCATTGGCAGGCTGGAATTTCATGAAAGCAAAAGATAGTAGTTTTAAAATATAAAGTGTTTAGGGCAGAGATGAAAGTTTCTGTTTGGGGATTTTGGAGACAGGGTCTCGCTATGTAGTTCAGGCCAGCCTCAAACTCACAGTAATCCTCCTGCTTCAGCCGTCTGAGTGCTAGGATTACAAGTGTATGCCACCATGCCTGGCTTAAAAGTTTCTGATTTGAAAACAAAATACAAAAGTACAAAGAAAAAAAAGCTATGTATGGGTCACCATGTTTATAGCGGCACAGTTTATAATAGCTAAATCCTGGAAACAGCCCAAATGCACATCAATAAGTGAATGGACAAAGATGATGTGGTTTTTCTTATTCAGTGGAGTATTACTCTTCCATGAAGAAGGAAAAGCTTGAGACATTTCTAGCTCAATGGATGTCCCTTGAGGCCATACTCTTAAGGGAAATAAATTGGACATACATGTGTACATATCACATTGTTTCTCTGGTATGAGAAACTGAAGTGTAAATAAGGACCAAAATGTATAATTCCCTATAATGAATGTAATCATTACAGATACCTAAAATGTACCAATAAACTTGATTAATTTTTTTAATTGTTAAATTAATTTAAACACACACACACACACATACATACATGCAAAAGAAAAAGCTATGGTTCAATGTTCATATGAAAAAGCTAGAGTTTAGAGCTGGGGGATTTAGCTCAGTGGCACAGTGCCTGCCTGACAAGCATAAGGTCCTGAGTTAAATTCCCAGTTCAAAAAAAAAAAAAAAAAAGCCAGAGTTTAAATGAATAGAAGCTCGATTTAAGGCCATAATACCATCTTAGACTTTATGAATTTAAAGATAGTTCTAGGCACAACAGCTTTTGGCTCTTGTAAATTATTAAACCATATCTAGAACACTAAACTCAGATACCCATTATGTCATCTTAACTTTTAATGTTACTAGGATGGTTTTTCTAAAAGAAGAGCAAATCAGATGGAGGTTTCTGACACCAGGTCAAATAAATTCATCTGTTCATTCATTCATTTATCCATCCACCAAATATGTGCTACATGCTCTGGATGTGTCAGATGCTACTCCAACGATCAGAGAATAAATGTTGAACAGGCCAGATAAAGCTTCTACTTTCATCAAGCTAACATGCTAGTGAGGGAAGACAACTGAAGAACCTGATAAAGACACTGGATTGAATATGAAGAGACCTGAACGAACTCTAGTCGGCCATTCACTGTGTGACTACTTTTTTTTTTTTTTTTTTTTTTTTTTTGGTTTTTCTCCGGTACCGGGAACCGAACTCACGACCTTGCGCTTGCCAGGCAGGCGCTTTTGCCGCTGAGCTAAATCCCCAGCCCCCTGTGTGACTACTTTTAATTCACTGAACAAGATTTAGGCCTTAGTTTCCTTCACTACAAAAAACAAATCAAATGAAACGAACATGTGCAAGCTTGCATGCACACACGTATACTTTTAAAGAGTCAAAATACTAAATTCCCTCCAATTCTAAAATTTTATAAAAATAAAAGAACCCTTAGGAGTACATGATAACTTTATTCAAATATCTGTAGAGCTGCCTTGTGAAAGAATCAGAAGTACTGTATATAGCTCCAAAAGAAAGGGGACCCGTGATACCGGGGAGTGACAGGAATAGATGCTATTTTGTTGAAGAATATGATTCTATTTTGTAGAAGAAAAAAAAAACCAAAAAACAAGGCTCGGGTTTATCACAGTCCCAAACCATTTAAGGCAATGCAAATAAGGGGCAACCCACTGAACACATACACATGTAATAATACACAATGGTTCTCAATGAGAGAGGATTTTGACTTCCAGGAGCCATCTGAAGACATTCTGGATTTCATCAGGGGATCAAAGGATAAGTGCTACTGCCACACAGTGGGTAGAGGCCAGAAACAGATAAACGTACCACTGTGCACAGGCCAGCCCCTACAACGAAGAGTTATCCAGTCTGGAATAAGGCAAACACTGAGAAACACATATGTTATTATGCATTATCTCTAAAACATTTCTTATATATATCTGTTTGTGTTTCCAGGCTCTAAGACCAACCTTGGTGAGGTTTTTTTGAGACAAGTCTTGCTATGTAGTACAGCCTGGCACTGAACTCGCTTATGTAGTCCGGGCTGGCCTTGAACTAACCTCTGCCTCAGCCTCTGGAGTGCTGGAATTACAGGCGTGCACCACCACGCCTGGTAGGTTTCTCATTAAATGTTTTCAAACGAAAGCTATAAAATGTTTGTTCAGGGGCTGGGGATTTAGCTCAGCGGCAAAGCGCCTGCCTGGCAAGCACAACGTCGTGAGTTCGGTTCCTGGTACTGGAGAAAAACCAAAAAAAAAAAAAAAAGTTTGTTCAGAATCTCTGTGAGGCAAAGCTCATTTCATTATGTTTCCCTGGCGTTAGCACGGTGCCTGCCAGCTAGCAAAAGGGTCAATATACTGAGATACATGTTGCCTACTAACTCCCATGGTTTACAACAGGTGAGATTTACCTTAAGGATCCTCCAAATTGTAGAATTTCCTCATTCTAAAAAATTATAATATATTAAATTTGCTATTTTCTCTGGTGAAAATATCAGAAAATTGTTCTTAAGTCATTTTATATATATACATGTACTTTCAAAATTTCACAGATATATCTAAGTACACAAATATAAAAGCTTAAAAATGATTTTAAAAATTAAAGGCATATTAGTACTTTCAGAGAATTAATTAGAAATAAAAACTAAACTCATAGGTGTTCTTGCATCAAAATAAAATCTTAATTATGGCTTTTTTTTTTAAAGAAAAAAGACATAGTTCTTAGAGTCAACTAAAAACTGGAGCTAAGAAGTAAAATAACTTCTAAAGATACAGAACATCTGTGGACTACCAATCAAATTCTGTTCAAATAAATAATTTAGTTTCATTTTTTTCAGTATGCATGCAAAGAAATTTAAGTTATACAGACTACTGGTAAACTGGATACTAAAGTCAAATAGGAATTCAGATCCATTAATTTTCTACCAGAAAAGACAGTAAATTTAAAAAGTTCAAGTTGGAATTTCCCAAAAAAAAATCTAGAATGAGTAAATTGGTCAATAAGTAATTTTTAAACAGTTTACTTAGAATTAGGGGTGTATCTCAGTAAAAGCACATGTGCTTAAAATGCACAAGGTACTGGGTTCAACCCTCAACAACCTAGAACCCCAAATTATTTCAAGTAATTGCTAAAAATTTTTAAAAATGATGTCTAAATAAGTTATTTGTTTACCTCCAATTAACTTATGCCTGTGAATTTTCTTCTACCTTAAAAAAATTACCTAATTGACATTATAAAAAGTCAACTAAGAAATTAATTTGCATGTGAAAATTTACTTAACAAAACTTTATTACCATGTCAAAATTCATGGTATAGAAAGCTGCTATATTTGAACATCCAAGATAAATAATCCTCAGAAACAATTACTGACAACTGGATAAGAGTGAACCTTAACTGTATAAAATAAACATATTTTACTGACTATGGAAGCATGCCAGAGAGGAAGCTGTTTAAATTACAAGTGTGAAATGGCTGATTTACTAGGTAAAACCAGTAGGTGAAGACACGCCACATTTTTATTTGAAATGACATGATGTCACTAAAATGGTAACTATACACAGAAAAGTCAAAGAAAGCAAGGACTTTTCTGAGGTAGTTACAATGGGTCATACTTACAGCCACAGAAGCCCACTGCCATGCAAAACAGTGACTGGTTGGCATCTGATCATGTGAGCGACAGCAGCCAATAAGAATAGAAAATAAGCAGAAGACAAAGCACCACCAATCAATGCCAAGAGTTGCCACGTACAATACTTTTGCTATACATAAATAGCAAGAAATGACTTACACAATCCTACAATTATCTATTTTCACTGATTCATATGAGTTTTAAAATCCTATCCTATTACTAATAATCTGTTAGATTTCCTAACTGCATAAGTCTACATTAATTAAGTTTAAATGTCATCAAACCTCAATATCAAAGTGCCTATCATCTGTAAATGCTCAAAAATATTTGATAAAATATGAAATTTTATTTTAAATAAGAAGTTTTAATTCAATTTCTAATTTCCTATGTGTAATACTGAATGAACATCTAACGAGGAGCATTCACTCTAACCCAGGAGTCAGCTTCTCTCATTCATCCTCAGATGGGCAGCTACCAAAAATACTTTGGTTCATAAGAAAGAAAGGAAAAAGACACTAAAAACAGAAGGAAAAAGGTCACATTCAGTATGATTTTAACAGTATTTTGTGAGGACATTTCTCTATGTTCAACTAACTTAACCAGTGGAAAACAAACGTTATCATTAACTAGTACTTAATATTATTGCAATGTACAACATACCACAGCATTTACAGAAAAAAGACCCACTCAACTCTCTAAAACAGCAGGAATGAGATGCTAAAGATACAATAAAAAGGAAGTACAATATTCTTGCTATACATATATACCAAGAAATTACACAATTGTATAATTATCTGTTTATATTGTTCTCATATGAGTTTTTAAATGCCATATTAAGACTAATAATCTGTTAAAATACAGAACTCCTATGATTTCTTACCGGTGCCATTCGTATTGCTGGATGTGCTCCACAACCCTGCACTGCTTTATGGAGTGTCTCACCAAACATATTTCGAAGTTCAACTGAGTGACAATATACAGCATCAATCTTAGGCCACCAATCCAATGCAGACTGGAGAAAAACATCACAAGGTGGAAATGTACAAAATTACCTGAATTTTATGTTCTGTTATCACTGTAGTTTTAAGTCTATCCTTTTGTCAGAAATTTCCTAAGATCATGCAAACACACATCATGATTTTCAAAGTCTTCAAATGATGCCATTAACTCAACATAACCCATCATATTATATTGTAAAATATAATAATGAGCATGTGCATGAGACTGTCTTCTCACTGAAAAACTACTCAGTAGAAAAAATATTTAAAGAACTAATGCAGCAGCCAATCTTTTTCCTTTTTTTTTTTTTTTTTTTTGCCTTTTTGAGACAGGTCTCACTACGTAGTTCATGCTGGCCTTGAGCTCACATTGTAGCCCAGGCTAGTCTCAAACTTGCAATGATCCTTCTGCCTCAGCCTCCTGAGTGCTGGGATTATAGGTGTGTGCCACCACGCCTGGCCTTTTTCCATTTTTAAACTGAATGTTTTATACATTTCAAATACGCATATAGTTTTTTTTTCCAGATAAGAATGCTACTATCAAAGTTTTAAAAGAGATCAGTGATTCAACACAATGCTGAAAGAACATATGGTAAACCATTACTTAAATGCTTACAAACAACAATTACAACATGAAATTAGTAAATGAGATAAAGCCATTAGTAAACCTAGTATCTTAAATATGCAATGATGGCACAATACATGGAAGACTGACATTCACCATAAACAAGGACAAATTCATCCCAGCTAAGTATTTTTAAAAGAATTATTTATGTACATATGTTCCTATTTCTGTTTAACCTACCTAGCTTTGACATCTGGTTTTTAATGTCAATTTTATTTGAAAGTGCATCTTTAACTTTTACTTTAAAATGAATTAACATTATAGAATTGACAATTATGAAAATCACTAAATTATAAACTTTGTCTATCAATTCAGACTACATATGAATGAATTCTCACTATATGTGGAGAGTGTATACATGAAATGGATAACTTAAATATAGATGCCCAATTTATAGTAAAATTAAAAGAAACATATGGAAAAATGACTGATAGTATATTCATGTATTAAGTAAGGAGGCTTTAATAGATTCAGATCCTACTCTTAGATTCCTTCTTATTCAAAACTAAGCCAAAGTCTCACTTTCACCCATAATTCCCAGAATATTTTGAGTAGAATGGTTATGTCAATCTTAACTACAACTGTGTATTACAAATTCTACTAAAGGATAGTAAAATATAAAACCAACATGATACACAATTTCAATAGTGTACTGAACTTCATTCAGAAAGGAGTTACAAAGTTGTGAGGTTAAAAAACAATTTTTAACGGTTGTGGGTTCCCTCAGTTCTTACTTTATTTAGGTTAGTTCCTAAATGATCTGTTGATTGTTTTTTTTTTTTCTTTAGTTTGGTTACAGAACAGATTTCCTAAATTTGGAGCAATATGCTCATCTGACTTGCCAAAAGCAAGTAATCCAACTTGATCTCCATTTATTTACTATATCATACAGCTTGAGATAATCAGCTTAAAGTAACTAAATGCTGAATAATAATAAAGTGCATTGAGTAAGGGTCCTCTTTACTCCACGAATTCCATAAAATCCTGTCAGGAACTATAATTACAGCACTCTGGGAGGCTGAGGCAAGAGGACTGCAAGTTCACAATATAGTGACTTAGAAAAGCCCTTTAAAAAAAAAAAAAAAAAAAAAAGAACTAGAGGGTGTAGCCCAAGGCAAAGGCTCTGGACTGAATCCACAGAAGGGAAGGGAGAGATGTGGACTCCGGGTAAACTAAAGAAGTGTGCATCCTATATAGCACCTACCTAAACGACTGCACTGTTTTGATAGAAGTCTGAGCTGCACTGTGGTACCAGGTGTACCCTTTAAAACATCTTTCAGTCTTAAGATTTACTGGTTTTCACACTTCTTATTTTTATAATAAATTCATTCATCTTAAAGAGATATACTTTCAAATAAACAAGCACTAAAAACTACACATCATGAAGTTAAAACTTTTAGTTACTAAATATGCTTTTTGAAGCTAACAATTAAGACATTTTTTCATGAAAATACTGTTTTCTTGACCAAAAAATTAACACGTACAAGCAAATTATGCATCAACTCAAGAGATTATTTATTTTTAAATGCCTTGAAAATAATTCCTTTGACCACAACCTCTTAACAGAAAGATCATCTCATTCTCAATATGTAAAATATCACCAAGTAAAATACAATGAACTGCCACAAAGAAAAATGGAAATAAAGAACTACAACAGCTTTAGCATGTAACAGTGATGACTTTCATTCAAATATGTATGTTACTGTTTTAATTTCTCAGGTACACATCTAATTTAACTTGAAGCTTCTAGAGCTTAAGACCATAACACAGATTCTAAAATTATAATTCACCTCATATGACATCGTAACGAAAGTGACAATGTAAGATAATTTTTAAAACTTCAGTTGCAAGAAAATTCAAATAGTGAATAAATGTTAACATTTTTTAAGAAACAATGGATCTTAGCACAGTATTAAGAACTGCACATATTTCACAGAAGCAAAATAAACTCCAAACACCATCACGACTTCTCCATAAACCCTCAAAAAAAAGAAATTGTATCTTATTTGAGAATGTAATAATTTTAAAAAATATGTGAACTGGCTAAATAATCATGGAAGAAGAAAACTTATGAGATGTATTGAACCAAGCATCATTTAAAAAGAAATCTAACGCTAAAAATCAATTTAAGATCAGGTGTCCAAATACCTAAGGAAAAATTTCATGTGATTATGAAAAATAAAATACTTCTCTAATGGGCTAGAGATGTAGCTCAGTGGCACAAGTGCCTGCCTGGCAAGTGCAAGGTCCTGAGTTTGATTCCTGGTACCAAAAAAGAAAAGCTTCCCTAATAACAGTCTTCAATAAGCCTCTATTAAGTCAATTTCACAGATTTACATATATACTTTTATAAATAGTCCTTTTCAGTCCAGAAAGTACTTTAGATTCAGTATCAGCCTCAAACCAAAAGGATGAGAAAAATGGGGAAAATCCTAACAACTAACTTACCAAGCAAACTATAAATATAAGGTGTCTCTAAGGTGTAAGTTACAGGCACTTTGGAGTAATATGTATGTTATTTTTCAAGCTATTTCACTGAAAGGTCACTGATACTTAATATTTTTAAACTAGTCAGTGAAGACTCCTTATAAAAATAGATGTCCATACTGACTTGACCTCAGATACAGACACACTCCACCTTCACATGCAGCACTCATCAGAGTATAGGAGGATGCACAACCACTTCCACCAAGTACACTGAGGCATGCATGAAGTACCACTCCAGGCATGCTAGAACCCCGAAGAGGTGCAGCTCAGCCACTTACAGCAGTGCCAAGTCCATGCTTGAAAGTGCTCTATATATTCAATTGTAGACAAAAATATTTCACAATTAAAGTAACTAGCCACAGAGTATCAAAAGAGTACATACTGGGGTTTACTTAATACAAACTTTAAGTATTTATGTAAAACTATACACTCTAACAAATAAAATATTTTTAGTATTACCACCAAAAGGGAGAAAAAGTAACATTTTGTTTCTGAGTTATGGATAAACTTGAGGAGGACAAATTTTTTTTTTTTTTTTTTTTTT